TTTGCCAAAAGCCACTGTGTCAAGTGTCCTTCTTGGGTTTCCGTCCGGAGTTCTCCAATATGGCGGACTATCTCGCACATGCGCACTGCAGATCGGGCAGAGCTGCAGATCGGGTAGTGACAGTGACAACAACAACAACCGGAAGTTACAACATGCTTACCGCAATAGTGTTTGAAAGGTCGGAGGCCACAGCAGTCAGTTGGGTTGGATCTGTTCTCAGTCGGTCTGAGACACCGACACAAACATCGTTTGTCACTCTCTCGGATAATTCTGTAAAGAGTCCCAGGAAGTGATGTCATCACAGTGAGTCAGGTTTAAAGGTGGTGCGTTCAGGGTCCTAGCTGACAGTCTGTTCTCTCTCGGATAATTCTGTTCCAGGAAGGGATGTCATCACAATGCGTCAGGACGAGAGGTCCTGTTAATAATATTTGTTTTGTCTCCGCAGGAACCAGGATGCAGCGTCCCCGGTGGTTGCTAGGAGCATGTCTATGGTTGCTATGCTCCACAGAGGTGTGGACGGCGACCTTTAAGCTGGCTCTGATTGGACCATGGTCATGTGACCCCCTTTTCTCCCGCGCCATGCCGACGGCGGCTGCCAACCTGGCATTGTCACGGTTACGGAGTGACACCGGGCTGAGCAGAGGCTACTGGTACGACGTGAAGCTACTGGACGAGGACTGCTCCGCCTCCAAAGGTTCGGTCACCAATCAGAGCCAGTCTGAGTTATCCACCAATCAGAGCCTGTCTGTGTCAGTCGTTCTGTTTTTAATAATTTCTCTAATGTATTTTCAGTTTCCTGATTAACTCCTTTTCAATTAATTTTTCCTCTTGTTTTTTCCAGCACTGACAGAACTCGGGGACATGGAGGGTTATGGACACGCTTACATCGGCCCCTTCAGCCCCGCCCTCTGCCATGCTGCCTCTTTATTGGCTCAGCACTGGGAGGCGGGGCTTGCCTCTCCAGGCTGTCTGGGTGCTGATTGGCCCAACCTGCCGCCCCTCCCCCAGCCCAGCAGGTTGCTCTTCAGCGTGTTGCGGTTCTTCCGCTGGGCGCACGTGGGCGTCATCTCAGGTGAGTCTCTGATGTCACTGTGGGGGTGTGGTCTGCCATGATGTTATCATGGGGGCGTGGTCTGTCATGACGACACAGTTGGGGCGTGGTCTGTCATGATGACACTTTGGAGGCGTGGTCAAGCACTATGTAAACACTACCTCTTCCTGTTTGGTTATCAGCTCCAACAGACCTTTGGGTGAGTACCGGACAAGAAGTGGCCTCTGCGCTCCGAGCACTAGGGCTGCCCATTGGTCCGGTAGTTACCATGGAAACCAATAAAAACGGTGGCGCTCAGGAGGCTCTGCGAGCGATCAGAGTGGCGGACAAGGTCAAAGGTCAGCACTGAAAACACAGAGCTGTAATTTACTGGAGGTTTAATGTTACATTATGTTATGTAATTATTTTAACGTTTTAATTCCAGTGGTCATCATGTGCATGAGCTCTGTTCTGATTGGTGGAGAGGATCAGCGGGAGCTCCTGCTGACGGCTCTGGACATGGGGATGGTTGCCGACGGTTACGTGTTCATCCCGTACGACGCGCTGCTGTACGCCATGCCGTACCAGGTAACACATCACTGTATATTTATACATTTAAATACCTAGAAGAAGTTCATGTGCAGGTAAATCTCTCTATCCTCGTCCAACAGGACATAGCATTTCCTCAGCTGACCAATAGCACGAAGCTCCGCCACGCCTACAGCTCAGTCCTCACCGTTACCATGGCGTCCGACCAGAGCTTCTATGAAGCCTTCAGACAGGCGCAGATCAACCGTGAGATCCGGACAGCTGTATCTGCCACCGAGGTTACCACACACACACACACACACACACACACACACACACACACACACTGTTCACACCACTACGAAGCTTTCAGACAGGCGCAGATCAACCGTGAGATCTGGACTGCTGTGTCTGCAACCAAGGTTACAACACTACACATACTGTACACACACTACACATCACTAAATAAACACACACATATATGAATATTAATGTGTGTGTTAACTCTGCCATGCATCTTGTCTGCAGGTGTCTCCAATCTTCGGCACCATCTTTAACATGGTGTACTTCGTTGCTAAGGCGGTGGAGGAGCGTCGTCAGGCAGGGGGCGGGCATTGGGTGACAGGCAACCAGCTCATCCAATCAGATGGAGGCTTTGATTTCCAGGGCTTCAATCAGGTCTATCCATTAAACATCAAATAAAATGTTATAATTTATTCTAAATAAATATATATTTGTATTTGCTGTAAAGTGTCTTTACTGTAGGTTTTTTTTTGTATTATATGTACAGCACTTTGGCTTGACCAAAAATCTTTAAAAAAATGTGCTATATAAATAAAACTTGATTTGATTTGATATTTCACTAATTAAAATGTCATTGTCGTAAATTGATGTTTTGGGAAATAGTAACTAAAGTCTAAAATTGAAGGAATTGTTCAGACTGAAGACTTAATTGTAGTAATCCGGGTTACATTTTCATCTTGCTTTATGCGGGTGTCTTACAGTTTCCCACCGGCTGCTCTTGAAGTATTTCGGTGTCATGATTACCTCCGTCTTCGTCTCTCAGGTGGTGTACGGAGGTAAAGAGGGGCGGGGCATGCAGGCCAAGTACGTGGTGTTGGACAGCGATGGAGACAGATTTGTGCCGACACACACTCTCGCTCCGACACACACACATGGGCCGGTCGGAAGCCTGAAACCTCTGAGTCACACCTTCATCTTCCCTGGAGGAAAACCCCCCTCCGCCAGCTTCTGTTGGTTCAGCCCAGAGGAGGCCTGCAGTGGGGGTGAGTTCACTGACCTGCAGGGAGGAAGGGATAACTTTATCTGATAAGTAAAAATGAGGCTCCTTCTCTGTGAATCGGTCCCTAAGTGGACATGTCCCTGGTGTATTTGTGGTCCGTCCAGATCAAGCTGGTGTAGTTTAAATAATCCAGTTTTATCTGCAGGTCCGGAAACGGTGTCCATGTTCTTTGCCTTCCTGCTGTTCTGCGCTTTGATTGGAGCTTTTATCTACTGGATAAAGTGAGCACACACACACACACACACACACACACACACACACACACACACACACACACACACACACACACACACACACACACACACTCTAATAATATTATGTGTGTGCAGGAAGTACAAAAGAAAAGCAAGCATCACCAAA